TTTTGATACTTGTACCTTTCGAAAGGGTTAAGCACTTTTGCATCCCCCTCACTCGCTCGATGTAAGCATAAAACTAATGCATATATCATTGTTTTATTTATGGCATCTAACTTTTGACAATTTGGCGATGACTGTTGCTATTTAAACTAAAAGTCGCCAGCTCTGTCGTAGCGGAAAAACTTGTACCCCACACCACCTCTTCAACATATTGGCCATTATTGTAATGGCATTCAAAGAAAATGCTTCCCAAGTTTAGCTGAAACATTTTAATCCTCTTTGTCGGGAACTTTTAAGTTATTTTCTTTTCCCCCCAAGGAAGAAATGCAACCACCCATATCATTGTAGTCAATTCATTTATTATTTATATAAAATATTGAGCCATAAACTTCTTAAGCACTTAGCATAGAGTTGACTTTGTTGGGTGGTGGTAGAACAAGGTGAGTTGGCCCAGACGTAACCTTTTTCTCCTATCCCCTCCAATTTCTACCACATTTTGTTGGGTAAGAAAACAATAATAATGGTGTGTGTGTGCGTGTACGAGCGTTGAAGGGTTCTATTTGTCCCGAGTATTTCCACGTGTTTCTTTTGAGACAAGGACATTGATGGCCATACATATTTGTATTTTTCCTCCTTTTCCTTTTTTGTTTACTTTCAAGAAATGTAAATAACCAGAAGATTTTATTTCCACAGTGAACTTGAATGTGAACAATGTGGTATTGTTATTTTCTCTCGTGAACTTTTTAAAAATGATATTCGAAGTAGCGTTTAATTTTATTTCTATATGATTTAAAGTAAAAAAGATGAGTAAAAACTGAAAAATATATATAAATTTCTACGGTGTTTTCATTTGAAATAAATACTCTAAATTTGATTTTGATTGATTTTGATTTTCTAAATGAGTATTTAAAATAAAACGAAAAAATGCCGACTTTCAAATGTTAATATTCATTAAAGAAAGGCTGACTGTCCTAAGATAGGAATCAACAGCGATGCAGCATACAAATACAAAATACCTAACATCCATGGTTTTGACTTTCAAGAGCCTCAAATTTTAAGTCGATTAAGCAATCTCCGTTGATATATTAAATTTGACACACAAAAGTTTATATCGTAGCCAGAATCCATAGAATTAAAAAGAAGCTATATGAATCCACTTTCAGGCTTAGCTGCCACAATATATTAAGTTTTTCACAATATCAACCTTTTCACAATTTGAAAAAAAACCTGGAAAATACCCTCATATAAGCCCCCGGTGTCTATTTACTATACCTTCCACAACACTCTGCCATTCCGTTTTAGGCTTAAACAAGTAACCATGTCCGTCGGTCTGTGAAAATTACTTTTGGATTGCTGAATGGATTATTGCGATATGTTCAGCTCACGAGCAATTTCGGCCATTTCTGCTGATGTTCCTGTTTTCTTCCGTCCATTTCCTTGACATCGGAGACACAAATGATTTATTAACATTTAAATGCTGGAGTGCTCTAACGATAGCCACTTTTGGTTTTCCAGCGAAATATAAAGAAATCACTCTTGAATTCCATCACGAATAACTTTTTTCGGGAAAATTCTCACCAAAATGCTTTTGTACGCTTGTAAACAATATACTCAGCTGTCACTGGAATAATTTTAAACGCTGTCGGAAGAGTGGCTTAGAAATGACAGCAGTCTGAAGTTGGTTGCAGTTTTTTTCATCGCACCCTGTATTAATATATATTATACCATCTAAAGCGTTTCATTTCAGATAACAAGTTGCGTGAAACGCCTTAAAGTATGTTATGAAAATCCCTAACATAAATGTAGAAAAATAGCTTTACATATGATTCTAACATTATGTGCATTCAGTCTTTAAAAATTACTATTCTCTTAAATCAAAATCGCAAGGAGTCCCACGACATACACATAAGCATCTCTAAAAATACTTCTAAAATAAATTCGGTCCATTGATTGCCATAAAGGATTATATATGTGAAAATGTTCTTAAGGTGTTTTCTATAGAATACAGCGTCTGCATAAAATCTCGCTAAGATATGTAACTCACCAAAGTCTCCCCGTCCACACAAGACCTATGAAAAATTCGTCTGTTTTTGTAACCGGTTTTATGTCGGCCAAACTTAGACTATAGACGTATTCTTTTGCAACCCCTTGCCTCAGTATCACATATTTCTTTATTTCACATTCAATTAATATGAAATATGTTTTCTCTTTATCGGCTGAAGTTTTTTCGGTTCACTGTCTGACAAGGTCCATAGTCCATGACAGAGAGAGAGAAAGAGACCATTAAACGTAAAACATTGCTTCCTGTTTGAGCGTTAAATCATTGAAAATCTATGAACTTATTTCCCCGAGAACCCTTTGAGTGTGTCTGTGGGTAATTTATATTGTAATCTTATCAAAATTTCCATTAAGGATAATGGACATTTGTTTTTGAACCCTTTTGTCTGGAACAATACATTGGATCATCGCATGTGTTCATCTCTGTTGTTTTTTCTTTTTTATTTTCATTAGTGGTCAAACATATTTTTATGGGTTTTTTTGTTCATATTTTTTGGTGGTTAATTTTCTAGGGCATCTTTTGAGATGACCATCCTCCCCCTTTATTATTTATGCCTGACAACCATGAAATATGCTTAACAAACCATTTTACAAATGGGCACAAAAAGAAAGAAAAAAAAGAAACTTTTCGCTTTCTTTGGCATTTGTTAACTGACTCTGACCTTCAACAATAAAAATGACAAAGTATCCTTTTTTCCGACTGGCCGATGTACTGCCTGACCAGTAAAACTTTTTTTATTTGAGTATAAACCTAAGTAATCGGCCAATAAAATCAATAACGGATGTTGTTAAGAAATTTGTTTAAAGTCAAAACCGAATTGGTATCTCAAACACGAATTGCTTGCACAAGTATGATATTTCTCGATGCTTGCTGCTTTCTCACTGATTTCATAATCAGGTTTCCGCTCCAGACCGACCGCATTGCCACACGCCGCCACACCGGCATGATGTGGACACGTGTGTATGTGTCTTAATCAGCAAAATGAAACATCTACTCTAGGACATTCACTTGCTTGGAAAATCGGAATATAGATCCTAACCTACAGTCACAAATTCGTTGCTGTTGTTATTTTTATCCTCTCCACTTTCCCTGTTTCTTTTTTCTTTTTTTTTGTATTTTCCTTTTATGCTGCTGGGACAGGGTTTGCATTTCGATTTGATTTTCCGGTTAGGCAAAGGCCAGAAAAAAGGCAATGAATCTTGTGTTTAAACTAAAATCCATTGAGGACAAATAACTTGATTGTGTGTGTGTGCGTGTGAAAGGATGTATGTGTTGGTAAGTTGGTATGGAGCTTAGCCATAATACCTAACGACTCTTCCAGGTGATTGAGATTCATAATACGTTTGTAACAATTTTTACGGTCAAACGTTTTTTTTTTTTGGTTTCAACATTTTTTACTCCTCTTCGTTGGGAAGATGGAGAAAATCCCATAGCCATCCTTGTGTGTGTGTGCGTGTGTTTTGTTGTTTTCCATTTCAAAGTCCTTTTACCTTAGCTCTTTCATTTTTAGCGACAACATAATCTAAGAATTAGTTTTATAGCTTACTTTCTTTTTGAGCAAGGTTTTCCCCATTTTCTCCCCGTTACAACATTCTAATCTAGTATAAATGCCTCCTCTTATGTCCGAAATGTTTGATGAATTGCAAAATTGGAATTTTCATGGAGTGTTGAAGGAGCATAGCCCGAAAACGACCCTTTTTGAAAACCTCAAAGGCAAGCGGATGAAAGGAAAAGCCAAATAAGAAAAGAAACAGAAAAGGTCAAGGAATTTCATGGGAAATTTTCTCATATGCGTAACAAAAGAATGCCAAGGTTTGGGGGATTTCACGAAAAAAAGGTAGCGTTGAAGTGGTGGTATCTGGAAAATGTAGTTTGTAACATTTTAACAGGATGAAGTATGTCAGGGATAAGTTAGGGTTTTTTAAAAAAAAGAAGTTTGTAATTCCACTTCATAGTTGGGGTCATAGAAGCATGTAAGCCAATAATTGGTTGTTTGGAACCCCCAAAAATGTTACTCATTAGGATATAATAATAAAAATATAAAATTTACTTTCCCCTTGTAGTAAAAATATTATGACAAGTGATTAAATATCAGAGCAGAGATTTGCTCATTTTCACACGGCAACGAAACTTGCTCGCGAGTAAGATTGCTCGAAGAGTGAGTATCCTTTTATAGAGTCTCTCTCTCTCTTTACTCTTTTGGTTAAGCACTCTCGAGTGACTTCTTGTTGGAAAAATTGGAATGGGAGCAAAATAGCTCAAAATAGAAGAAGAGTGGAGAATATTTTATTTTCTGATTTGTGTGTGCATGTGTGTGTGATAGCAAACGGATTTTGATGTTGATGTGTACTGTAAAAGAAGGGAAAAAGAGTAGGAAGTGGGGTGTGATCTTGCAAGAAAAATACTTCTACATAGAAATACAACAACGGTATGACAAAAACTAATGGAGTGCTCGACGAGAGTTGAATCCGCTCGATGTCGAAAGAATTTTGCTCCCGCTGAAAAACGAGCAACATCGAAAAATTGAGTTTGCTCATTTTTTCGGCTCCCAGGAGCGCTCTCGCTCGAATTCGAGTGAGTTTCACTCTTTGTACAAATTCGAGCGAGTTTTTCGGAGGGGTGCAAAATTCGATCAAAAGTGCTTTACTTTCACAGTGTTTGCTAATAATCTTACTTGGCTTAGATTAAAATGTTTTGTACATATAATTAAGATTCATATTTTAACAGATAAACCTCTTTGCAAACTTAAGTGATTGTATAATTCTAATTATAAATTTAAAATTCCCAATAAAGAACGAAAAAAAAACAAAATACATTACAAGCATCTCCTGAATTTTTAATGGCACTGCCGTTTTTAAAACACTCTTTTGTTAATTTATTAAAAATGTCTCTTTTTTGGTTTACCATCACTCTTAGTTTTTACTTTCTTTTTCTCTCATTCCAGGATTGACTGTTCTCTCCTCAACAATTGCCGATGAATCTCTGGATACAAGAGAAAAATCAGATCTCACATTAAAGTGCCGTTTTACAGATCAATACGACGCCGATGATTTCACATTTTACTGGGCAAGATGGACAGCGAATCCGGCCCTCTTTGAAAATGTGGCCATTGGCGATGTCCAACTAAATTCAGGCTATAGGTAAGTACTTTTATTATTTCTCCTAACAATTTAATTTAATATTTAAAAGCCAACATCAGGGTAGTGTTTCAAACGAAAAAAAAATTAAATATGATTTTGTAATAACTTCATTGATAATTATTCAAAATTTAAAACAAAATTAAAAATGTATTGAAATATTTAGTTTTACCTAAATCACCTTCTTAAAATGGGAAAAATCGCAGTTGTTCTTTATAGAAGATATTTTTAAATACTAGGAAAATATATGGAGACGAAACGAGCGAAGCAGTAAACTTTGTTTAAGTTTGGGATGATAGGCTCACAGAATTCAATTACTAGACAAAAAATGTTTCCTCATTAGTAATTTTGGGCAAAATTAGGGCTCTTTTTGTTTTTATTTTTTTAAGGAAGATCATATATATCCTAGCCTATCTTAGTTTACTGACCCCAGCCTTTTCCATTTCGTTACATTCCAATGATTCTCGGAACTAAGTGACTTTGGAAATTAGAAATGAAAAACAAACAAAAAACATTGCACACTATAGTGATGCGATATTAAACTAAGGGGTGAATGGGGAATTAATGCAGGGGCATTGACACACCACAATATATTTAGATTTTCCATAGCATACTTTTAGGAAGTAAAAAAATATTATATTTTAATTGTGTGCGACGATGGGAATGGAATACTCTCTTGTGTTTTAAGTAACTAACTTGCTTTTAAAATATTTCACACTCTAAATCATGTTAGAGATTAAATTTTTGCCAAATACGTTGGCTTAAAAAAACCCGAATTGGACATTGCAGGGCCTTTAAGCAATTTTAATATTTTTCGAAAAAGTCTTTTGCTCTCGTCAAAAAAAAAATCTAAGCATTGGTCTCTAGCGTTAGGACTTTTGTCAAACCTAGGTGTGAGGATGTGTTCTACACCTTAAGAATCAAATTTTATTTTTTTTTTTTTTTTCTTAAGAATCAATTTTTTTTCATATATGGGGATTAATACAAAATATGGACCGAAATTGCAATTGTGGTTCAAAAGTTAAAATCAGGAGGTGGGGTCCGATTTGGCATGTAACACCTCCGAAACTATTCTTAAGAGAGAGCCTATAACAATTAGATGAAGAGAAGTGATTCTACCTAAGATTAATTTACAGCTGATTCTGGTGATATATTTGCTGAAAGGTTTGAAAACGTAAGAGAATGTCATATGGGACAGTACCTAAACTTGGACCCATATAACGCATTCTCAATATGTCTTGAATAATACAACAGCTGTGCCGAATTGCAAACCTGTGCATGAAATTCCATAGCCTCTTGGGCGGACAGGGTTAACTTGACTTTAAATGCTCTGTCGATTAATAATATATGCCATATTTCCGGATGGTGCTAAAGTAATGTCTTAATTTCTATAACCCCTACTTAATGGTATATAGATAGTATTAGAAATTCCAAAAACTCTCAACTGGATGACCTATGTGGAATCATTGAAATTTCGTCCAATTTTTAGAGATTCCCTTCAATGGACAAATGTTTAAGGTCCTTTTCCATTTTCCAACCTACGAATACAACCATCATAATTTTTATTTTTATGTTAGAGAACAACATTAAAAGACTTTATCAGATATGAAAACAATCAGCGAAACAGAAGCACAGTATTACGAAATAAAAAAAAAATTGTAACTTTATTTTTTATGTATTCACGACTATTTTACTGGAGTTTTACAAACAAAAGTGAAAAATTCGATCTTATAAAAAAAATTCTATTGTTGACACAAAATACTGCATTTCGACATAGTGTACGTATGTTTTTTTTGGTCTTTTTAGATCTGATATTTTTTTTTGTGTGTGTTTTTTTACTAGTATCTGTCTTTTAATATTTACTACATTTCCGCCTATAGTTCCACCACGCCAAGTAAACTTTTCGAAAAAAAGAAATTAAATTTTGTTATTGGTGATACAAAATGTTTAATTTTGACACACTGTGTCGTGCATCTGTTTTACCAAATATTCTTAAACCTGATGATACTTTTTGATAATTTTCCTTTAACTATCATCTGACTTCTTTGTCTCTCTCTTTGAGTTAAAAGACACCTGCTCATTTCAAATATACTGCTTAAAAGTCTTAACAATTTAATTCCTGTTGGACTCACATACCAGATGTTTTCAATAATATTTCCTATTTATAATTTATAAAATATATTATTGTGTGCATTTTTCTCAGAAATCCTAGATATTTTCTTTATGATTATGTTACGTAGCATGGAATTGAAATAAGTTTTTCATGCCATTCATTAAAACACTTCATTTGCTGTTGGTCATTCGAAATAGCTGTTTGAAGAGAGAAAATATGATGCATATTTTTAGGTTTTTGCATATATAAAGCATATCTCTGTGGTACGGTTTTGATGAACAACAACAACAAAATAAAAAAACAAGAACATAAAGAAAGAAGAAAATAGAATTTATTTCGTTCTCACCCAGTAAGATATGCATAAATATTTCAACAAAAGTAACAATCCTTTGGGATGGCAAATGATATAGAGACGCTAACGGGGTGTACTCGAGACGAGGAGTCTACTTATTTATGTTATTTATTTATGCTTATCCCCAATAGCGAGTAAATAATACTTGGACCAGAGCAACAACAATGCATCTTTGCCATGGTTAGCACAACCGAATGCAAGGACTTAAGTGCAAGAAACCACTGCTACCGAGTCTCAGAGCAGTGCAGTTTGTGCAATGAAGTTTTGCTCGCAACGCACACAGACAAACAATCACACCAAATAAGTAGCACAGACAGAAATCCGGCTTCTAAATGCTACTCTAGTCCCAGAGTCCTTAAGGGATTTTTGTACCAACAAAACAAAAGAAAATAAAAAAATAAAATAAAATAAAAAAACTCACAACAAAACAAAAACCAAATAATGCCTGAACTAGGATTCGTTTCGCTAAAATGTAGCCAGTCAAGCAAGCATTGGCAGGCAACGCTCAGTCATGTACATATTATGATAAACGTTACTAAATGAGCATTTTCCCCAAGCAGCGACTCGCTGGTGAAACCTCAGTTGTATGGATTGCAGTCTCCATTCGCCTTTTTTTTCTGAGCTTTGCAGGTTGTCTTGTTTTTTTTTTCTGATGTTGTGTTCTATGGTTTGTGGATGGGAAATGATGAAGACAAGTCGTGGTTGGTGGTGGATAGGTTGGTAGTAGGATGGTAGGATGGGGAGAAGCGTTTGAAATAAAACGCTTACATTCACATAAATTGCATTTTTTTTTTTTGTATTGAGTGTTAAGAAGTTTTATGAGTAAATAAAATGATTTTAGTGCAATATTGATATAAACCATAAAACAGGAGCACAGCGAGAGAAATGAGTGCGGAACATAAAAAAGCAAACAATCATTGTTTTTCACTTGGCGAGCTGGAGAGCTGCGTTTTTTTGTCTGTCCCTGTAAAAAATGGATTTACTTTAATGTCGAGTAAAGGAAGTACTGCATCATTTGACTGATCTCAGGGGGCAGAAAGATGTAGAAGCTCCATATAAAATTGATGAGTAAATTGTCTTGCCATCGCACATTTTTTATGATAGACATTATTCATTGATAATAATGGTGCATTTTTATTTTCACCAAGAAGAGGATTATGTTTAAATCCTTTGCAATAAGTCATTTTCGGGTCATTAAAATATCTACACGAATTTTTATTGTATTTTTGATTGGGGGAAAATTGAAAATATTTTTAATGTTTTTTAGGGACTTTTTTCTTCTTTGACTTTTTTACTTTAAAAAGTTTATTGGGACACCTAGTTACAGAATCAATTACCAAGAGTCCATTTTTACAAATAATAATCGCACTCGAATAAATTTTACTTATGAATTTAATGCCTGGGATAGTTATATGTAGTAATTGGTTGAATCAAATTCAATACCAAACAGGCTCCCACTCCGTATTTTTGAAAGACTCCGACTCCTTAAACAATGTCCAATTTATTTTTTGAAAAAAAAAAAAAAAAAAAAACAAGAAAACATATAAGTCCTGAACCTCCAGTCCCTATATCTTTATATAATAACAATTCAAACTGACAAATGAACGGCAAAAATTAAATTATTTTGTTTTCTGTTGCAATCGTCTTCGAAATGCCAGAATTATATCCCATTACATGGGATTGGAACCGAATAGTTTTGTAAATATTTGAAATTTTCGGCAGGGCTAAATTATATCCTCTGAGAACCTGACTCCGAAATGTAAGGTAATTTGGTCAAAAATGCATCTTAAATCAAATAGTGAACCTGCATTGACATTATTTCGTAATATCAAGGGGAATACTGAAAATCGGAAGGCAGCTCATTTTCCTAAACAACGTTTTCCACGTTGCACGGATTTGGTTGTTTTCACTCGGGAGCGAAACTTGCTCGCGAGCAAGATTGCTCGAAGAATGGGAGATTTTACGCAGTCTACTCTTCACTCTTGTGTTTCGTGAGACAGTGCTCCTGAATTACTCCTATTTGAAAAATGAGCGTGGGAGCAGAAGGAAGAAGGATAGAAAACACATATACATAGAAATACAACAACGATATGACAAAAACTACAAGAGTAGAATCGACTCGATTTTGAAAGAATATTGTTCCCAGTCAAAAACGAGGAAAACAGGCTCTCTCCTATTCGAGTGACATCGAAAAATTGAGTTTGTTCAATTTTTTTCTGCTCCCAGAAGAGATCTCGCTCCAATTCCAATAAATGCCACTCCTTGTTCAATTCGAACGAATTTTTCGTTGGTCTGATAGGTCATGAAGACTCCGATGAATATTTTGAAGTAATACAAAGGAAATGATAACCTCGAAGTAGAGGATATAAATTAGTGTAAATTTTAGATATTTTATTCGTGTTTTAGTCATTTTCTAAGGCTTGGAGATAGCTCTTTAAGAGTGAAGTCAACTCTTGATTCTACAATTTTTGAAGTGATTTAATTTTTAAAGCCTTTCAGAATTTTTCTATACCCGATTGGAAACGTGTCAATCTCTTC